TTTTTACTTAAAACTAGAATATTTCCTTTGGATTAGTCCCTTATTGATCAGGGGTTGCCAAATCGGAATGAACTGCCATATATTTTGGAATATGTTTTACGCAGCAGATGCCCTTCCAGCCGTAACCCAGTACTGGGAAACACCCATACATTCTCACATTCACATATTCATACACTACGGCCAATTTAGTTTATTCAATTCACCTATAGCGCATGTTTTTGGACTGTGGGGGAAACTCGAAGGAAACCCACGCGAACATGGGAAAAACATGCAAACTTCACACAGACACGCCAACTGACTCAGCCAGGACTTGAACCAGTGACCTTCTTGCTGTGAGGTGACAGTGCTAACCACTGTGACACTGTGTTGCCCAAAACTAGAATAACTAAATCTAAATTGAAAGTTAAAAATAAAAAATAAGAAGAATTGAAACTATTTAGACAAAATATTTAAAATAAAAAACATGTATCAATATTCTAAACAGATAATAAACATGAATTCAAGCCATTTTAAATATTAATGAACAACAATAGTTACTCAATCTAAAATAACACGGATAAAGAAAACACATTTTATTGGCACAAAAGTAGGATGATGAATTATTTTTAAATTGAAGACAAAATTCTGCAATTCAATCTCCTTTTAAACATCCAATTTTCTCAGTGATCATGACTGAATATTCAGTCAAAATTCTTGTCAAATAAAGAAAGTGTAACAATAAGATTTTTTAAAAAAGTTTTGAAATAGTTTCTCTATAATCCTGTAATCAAAAAACACATTTTATTTTAGAATTCGTCAATTATATTTCAGACATTAAAGAATTATGTTTAAATTAAAACACATCTGTTTAGCACATCCGAATATCACATCCCACAGGTTGCACTATGATGTCTTTTTTTACTTGTCATGTTTTTGTTTTCTCATAGTTGTTTATTTTATTCCTGTTTTTGTGAAGCATGTTGAATTACCATTGTGTATGAAATGTGCTATGTAAATAAACTCGCCTTGCCTACAGATATAATTTATATAATTAATAATATCTTGGACATTAGAAGCATTTTAATGTCTTGAATTCAAGAAAAGCTGCATGAACGCACACAAAATCAAGTGTTTGTTTAGTTCAGTAAAAGAAGTGTTGATTTTCTTTTTTATCACCGCATCCATGGAAAAAATATTGACCTTTTATTCTTGCTTTTATTCCAGCCAAAATAAACAAATAAGATTTTCTCCGGAAGAAAAAATATGATAGGAAATACTGTAAAAAAAAAATCTTGGTTTGTTAAACATCCTCCTGTGATTTTTCAAATATTTCTCAAAATGGTTAATCATTTTGACTTCAACTTTTAGCAGATTTGCAGTTATTTGTATTAATATGTTTCTTACAGTAAATTAGACACTATTTAAATTTGAGTGTTTGCACTAAAATGTACAATTTAAAATGTAATGTAATTGTGATGCATTTTGATTATTAAAAGTGATTATTTATTGAAAATTCTATATATATTTTATCTATAAACACACAATCAGGTAAAGAGATTTTGAAAGGGTCCCTTTTGAAAGGTTGCCTAGAGGTCCTACAGAGGGTTCTGCTGGTATGGCATTGTAAAGAACCCCAAAAGGTGACTATAGACCATTTCAATTTGGTCATGTTATTGCCCATGAACATTTCCTGCTTGTTGTCAAACTATTTCATAAGTGTAACAAGAGGCAATTCATTCATAATAACCTAATGTTGAAACAGCTATCATAACATTATTTATAATATGTGGCTCTTTTTGTATTCTCAGTAGTTATAGAAATAAAAAATGTACAACAGGAAATACATTGGGACCATTGTTTTTGTTTACATCTGTCAAAATTGTGTATAGGAACCTTTTATTTTTACAGTGCATAAGCATAGTTATATCAAATAATTCCTTATACATGAGAAACCTTTCAGATTAAGATAAAAATTACTTTTAAAGTTCGCAGTAAAAAAAAACTGCATCAAGGCAAATAAGCAAAAGGAGTCTAGACAGTTCAGTCAGAGAAGCTGTGTTGATTCTCCTCTACAGGTTCATTCAGGTAGCCATGTTTGAGCAGCTTACAGCCCGGCTGAATGGGGTGGTTATCTTTTGTGTGCGCTTTGGAAAAACAACTGTGTTGTAACTTGTTTTGGACATACATATTCAAACCCATGAAAACACTGGTTCAAAAAAGCAACACAATAGTCAGAGAGAGGCATGTGGAGCACATGTGTATGCAAACATGAGGTCTTTCAGCTTTCTGTGAGTGTTTGTAGCTACACGTAACATTTCTGAGAGAAACTTTCTCCTGTCACAAACCAAACTGATCAAAGAAAGCGGATGGCAAAATAAGTGGGACTCTCTGCATAAAGAGGGGTACGATCTGTCTAAAAATGTTTAGATACACTCAAAAAATGATGTTTACTATTTGTACTTATTTAAAAATAGCTGAAACAACTAAATTATGTTTTTTAGGGGGACAACTCAATTGTTTTATGTTCAATCCACTTCAATTTGTTAACTTAAGTTCTTTATGTCCAAAAAAACTAATTGATTATGTGGAGCCCTGCAGTGTATACTGTAAAAATGCTGGGTTCCACACAATTCCTTCTTGTTTTCCTAACACAAATCAATTAAGTTAATTACTTTTAAACAAATTACAAAGATTTACATAAAGCAATTAAGTTGTCCCCAAAAAAAACTCAGCAATTGTGTTGATTTGGCTCATTTTAAATAAGTAGTTTGAACATCCAGCAAAAATAATTTTTGTGTGTATATGGAAGAATGAAGCCCTACAATTTGTGGTGCGATGGGCATAAAAGCGTAACTGTCAGTCACGAACAGAGGCCGTGAACATGGTTCACAAAGCACCTGCAAGCTCACAAGCACTCACACCTGTGTCTACAAAGAAAAGAAAAAGCATCATAAAGCTTTGCACCCACACCTTTTCTCAAGCAATTACAAACACTGAAAATCACACACCTATAGAATTTTCTGACAGTTGCTTGTCATAAATTGTCATCAAAAGGGAGTAATGGCATTTTGTTGGCTACTTAAGGACTTGAAAACAAGCACCTAATAATTATGAATTGGCTGTACCTTACTTGTTTGCTTTTATCCATACACAAAACATTTGGAAACGTCAAGATGGTTTTAAAAGTCTGCTCACCAAGGATAGATTTGTATTATCAGTGATGAAATAATAATATTGTAGAATATTATTTATATTTTTAAATAATTGTTGAGTAAATATATTCAAAAAACGGATATTCAAATGTATCCATTTCAAATGCTGCTCAGTACACAACTCGATCACTCTTAGAACAGTTGTAGGGCTACTGAAATTCAAAAGTTACAAGAAAAAAAAGAGAAAATAAGAAAAGAAGCATTTTATCTTTGATGCTGATGATTATAAAATGAGGAATTCAGCTGATCAAGTGACAGTAACACATAGTTTCCTGAAAGATTTGTTTCAAATAAATGTTAACTTACTATTCTTCAAAGAATACTGAAAAGTATATCTACACCAAAATATGAAGGAGATTGTATTTCCAACATTGATAAAGAGAGCAATTCCATGCAAATTTCAACCATGCCATCAAAAGAAATTAAGTTTTCACCAAAATAGCAAAACCGTTTCTAGTTTTTTTGTGTAGGCTTGTGTTTTACAGTACTTTAAAAATACTTAAAAATGTCTCCTTTAATGTGTTTATACAACTATAATGATTTGCTAAAGTCACACAAGTGCCATTTTTACATCTGTCACATCCATTGCTAAGAGGTGTCACATCAGTGACAAAGCTTTTCCCTCATAAATGCAAATAAAATCAATCATTTTTGTTTTTAGAGAGACAACTCTTACCTTTCTGATTGCCGTTGTTTCTTTTGGGTTGTGCAGTTTAATTCACTGATTTTCCACAAAGTATGTTGTATACTGTAAACTTCAGACTTTTTTGGTCACATCCATAACGCATGTTTAATTTCCTCATTTAAAATATAAAAAATATTTACAGATTGATATTTTTTCTGATTCCGTAACTCTGTGGTTAGTAGTTTTGGAAAATATAAACTGATTTTTCAATATAATGTTAACATAAAGTATACTTTCTCTGTGAATTTATGTTTTGACTTTTACTGCAAATGTCACATCCATAATGCTAGAATTGCTCAACTACTGAGCATAGCAAATGTGCATATTAAAATAGTTACTAAATCAACACTTGACATTAAACATGGGAGAAATAAAGCTGACAATTCATGCTCATTTTGATTGAAATAATTTTTACAATAATACAGTTTATGCTGTATTTTTATTTAAAAAAAAAACACCCCTATCAAGCTGACGATATTTATTTAAAAAACATTTTAATGTTTGCAAACTCTTGAGCCATGTTGTAAAAACATCTGACTTTAAATCAATCAAGCCAAGAAAACAAACTCATAAATAAATAAATTAATTAATTAATAAATAGACAAATAAACCACTTTGTGATAATAATAACTACAAGTCTTAACAGAAAATGTCTGAGCTCGGTCTTTTTCCCATGACCCCAGGATGATCGGGTTCAGAGCTAACAATAGAAGACACAGAAAGTGTAAAGGTGCAAAGTGAAACTAATTAAGTCATAGAAAGAGTTTCAAAGAAAGCCACAACACAGCATATGTGTGTACCTTTTAAATGCTTGCTTGCGGGCTCCGTATTAAAACATGAGCACATCTACCACAATATTGTATTAGACTTACACTTACAACAGTTATATATAATACGACGACTTTTATTCTTTAAAAACAATAATATAAGCCTCGCTTTCGCTCTCTGCGTGCCTCTTACCTCTTGCAACAAGTGATCAGATCTCCTACGAGAAACGCCACATCCCTAACAATTGTTATGCAAATTAGCAAAGGGGTTGCGTTGAGCGCTCATTGGCCAGACGTGGAATACAATTATACAATTGGTTCAACGTGGATTGCAAACTATCGCTGCTCAACAAGTGGCTTGTCTAGAGTTCAACACAGACACAAACAAGCTGAGATTCCTTTCGCGCTCTTTTCTACTTTATTTTGCATTAGTAACTTTTCTAAATGCTTTGAGATTTCCCTCGTTGCTGCTGCTTTTATTTGGGGTGCTTTCTTCAGCCAGACAATCAAAAGTCTTCACCTGCGCCGGATTTGTTTGACCTGATTAGGCTCGCTCGTGCACTTTTAATTGGCTGCTTTAGCATTGCGCGGTTGAAACTCAAAGCGAGAAGTGGCATGATGTACAGCATGATGGAGCACGAGCTGAAGACCGCTGGTCCACCCCACACCCTCCAGCACAGCCCGGGCATGTCTCCTCCGGGCAGCGGGGTGGGAAACGCGCACCACGGTTCGAAAACCGCTTGTCCGCCAGGCGTGGACCCGATGGACAAAGTCAAGCGGCCCATGAACGCGTTTATGGTCTGGTCTCGGGGTCAGAGGAGGAAGATGGCCCAGGAGAACCCTAAAATGCACAACTCTGAGATCAGCAAACGGCTCGGCGCGGAGTGGAAACTTTTAACGGACGTGGAGAAGCGGCCGTTCATCGACGAGGCCAAGCGGCTGCGGGCGGTGCACATGAAGGAGTACCCCGACTACAAATATAAGCCCCGGCGCAAGACCAAAGCTCTCATGAAGAAGGACAATCCTGTCGGCAAATATCCTCTTGCAGCGGGCAACTTGTTGGCATCGGCTGTGGCGCAGGGACAAGGTGGCAGCCCGAGGATGGACGGCTACGGCTGGGGTCACGCCGGTGGGTACATGGGCATGCAGGGGGACGCGCTCGGATACCCGCAGCAACTTCACCGGTACGATCTGTCAGCTCTGCAGTACCCGGCGGCACAGCCCTACATGAACAGCGCCAGCTCTTACAGGTTTGTTTTGAGAAAAGGGCTACTAAAATCTCGACAATATATGAAAATTGGTAAACTATTGCGCGAAGCGATAAATACGTTGACATTAAGCATAAAATGCGTTCAGTTTTAATAGGTGTGTGTAAAGACGTTGAAAGTTTTAGCTTAGAATGTTATTAACTGTATTCATATGGCGAAAATCCACATTTTGGGCATCTAAAAGCAATTGTAATTATGAATGTTTGAAGTTAAAGGGATAGTTCACCCAAAACAAAATAAATCTTTCACCATTTACTCGCCCTTCTTGTTTTAAAACGGTTTGATTTACTTTTTCCCCTGTTAAACACACAAGATATCCTGAAGAAAGCTCGAAACCTGTAACTTTTGACTTCCATTGTGTTTGTTTTTCCTACTATGGAAATCAGTGATTTCATGTTGCAAGTTTTCTTCAAAATATCATCTTTAGATGAAAATAATGAACTCTTGTGGGTGAGTAAATTGTTTTTTGTCTGAACTTTCCCTTTAAGGTCTCTGACTAATTTAATTTCCCAACTCATGCATTTGGCATTTGTCTAGATTATCTCCTTACATCTGCACACTTATCAGTTTGCCTGTTAATCATAACTGCACACTTTAGCATTTGTCTACCGATTTTTCTCCCAGAGTCACCACAAGTAAGCTGGCTTAACCTGTATAGACCTGTTGTTTTGGAACAAACGCAGAGGCGTTTATGTGTGGAAAGATACAGATTCTCTGTGCTGTTAATCCTGGATTTTCTTTTCTTTTTTTTAACTTTCAATGTTTGCCCTTTTTTCCTCTCCACAGTCAAATGTCCTACAGCAGCAGTGCTCAGCAGCCCAGTCCGGTGATGTCCATGGTTAAACCAGAACCCCTGTCGCATTCACCCACTGGAGTACCAAACCACCACCGTGGTGCTTTCCAAGGGGACCTGAGGGACATGATTAGCATGTACATTCCAGGCGGTGATACCAGCGAAAGCTCAAACCAGAGGGCTTACCCTGGTGTCCAACAGCACTATCTTGGTGGAACTGTTCCCCTCACTCACATCTGAAGTTTAGGGAAATTTTTCCCTGAACTGCTATTAGTTGGATCCTTATTGGGACCGTAGTGCCACTCATAGACCGTGTGGATTACTGAACACTTCTGATTGTTTACTACCTCCTCGCTTTGAATGATCTGAAGTTCTGTGTTGAAACTGTATAGAAAATTTTACCATTTCAGTCTTCTGTGTTTTGACCGGGGACCTTTCATTTTCTAACTTCTCCTGAAATTAGGATAATTCAGTCAGCCTTTTTTCCTCCAAGTTCCAGTTCAGACATCCTCTTCCTAAATTCATATGTTTTTTTTAATTATTATAATTATAAACAGTGTTCTTTTGTGCTTCATGCAATGTTTAGAACATGCGTTGTTCATGCAGCAGTGGGCAATCATGATCCAAAACCTAATTGGGGTACAAAACAGGGCGACTCTGAAAACAGGTCAACCAATAATAATCACAATGGCCAGTAATAGACATACCATGTGACCTCTAGTGTAAATTAGTTTTTGTTTTGTGAATCCTGCTATTATACCCAAACTGGCTAAGCGCACTGAATAACTGAGTGTTTGGTCAAGTTGACCTTTGTTTCTTTAGGTTTGGGTATTGATGTATAGCGAAGTGTTTTGGACAATCTCAGGGCCTCCTTCAAATAAATAGTGAGAAGATGACGGTATAGATTGCCTTTATTGAATGGGTTCATAATAGTGAGGAGAAAGTCATTATACTTTTCTTACTTTTAAATAATATCTGATTTTCACATGTATCAAACTTGTTTGTGAACTAATCTTTTTGTTTCTAGTCTTTACAAGGTAATTGCACTCCTGTAAATGGTCAGTTTTTGGCCATGCAGATTGCTAAATGTTGAGTTTTTCTAGTTCCAGCATTTCCCTCTTAAGGGCTAAACTCGAATGCACTGATCTTCGCTGTCAGTCAATGCACTTCGTTAGACTAGAAGGGTTTCTACCTCCTCTGGTCTTTCTCATTCTGCCACAGCATTAAGTCTGCTGCTACCATTACAGTATGGTTGACCAGTGAGTTCAGTGGACTTGACTGAAATTTTCTTTTCACAGTGTGACCTTTTGTCAACAAAATGCAAAGTCATGTCAAGGTTAGTTTTGAACTCCTGAACTGCAGGTGGCATTTTTGTGGCTGTCAGAATTAAATTTGACTTTTTTTTTTTTTTTTTTTTTTTTTTTTTGCTGCCACAAAGTTCGTTCAGTTAGATACTAATGTTTTTGTTAATTGAATGGTGATTTAAGCACAATGGGGAAAAAAAGTTTACATTACCATTGAAGTGAGTTTGCAGCTTGCTGTTTTTTTTTTTTTTCTTTAATAATTTTAATCTAGGTTGTAAATACCCTTTTTGTACAGTGTATATTGGTTTTGTGGCTCTTATAAGGGCCGTTTTACAGAATAAAAAAATGACAACGCAACATTTTGTGTCAAGTTTTGATTCTGTTGAAGTTTGTGTAGACCATTTCAGTGTTGTCATGTCATTGGCTCATGAAAATGTCCTGCTTGCTGTCAAACTATTTCATAATCGTTACGAAGCAATTCAATGATTCATTTTTTTATACACCTGCCATAGGATTATTTATCAATATTTGGACTTTTTTTGGATTCTCAAAAGCTATGGATATTTAAAAATGTAAAACAGGAAATATGTAAGGACCATTGTTATTGTTTACATCTCTCAAAGTGGTCGGTTGTATGTAATTTTGAGTTTACAGTCCTAATTTTGAGGACAGTCCTCTTTGACCTTCAGCATTACATGAATATTTGTCAATCCTATTGCCAGAGGTAAATTACTTTTTCATAGTCAGCCATGAACTTTTTAATGTGAGTGAAATGGTGATGGTTGAATGACAGTTTTAGCCTTAGTGCTGTTATTCACCTTTTGGAGACTCATAGTAAAATAAAAACAACACAAAGATTGTTCACCCAAAATTAAAAGTGTCACTCTACTTGTTTTACAACTTAAGGAGTTATTTCTTCTGTTGAACATAAGTTCAGTTCAAAATGGTATTTTTTCTACTAGAGAAGTCAATGGTTATGGGTTTTCAGCAGTCTTTAAAATATCTTCAGTAGTTAATAAAATAAAGAAATTTAGTTCTGAACCACTTGAGGGTGAGTAAATTGAATAAATTATTTGTGTATATATATATATAAGTGAATAAATATGAAATCCAAAAAGGCCAAATTTTTAATCAGGCTAACTTAAGGATAATTTATTTTACAGTTTATCAATATAAAGTTTTATTTGCGTTTGTTAAGCACAAATTAAGCTATTTTCCTATTTTTCTTAACGTTTTAATAAAAAAATATTTAATCCATCCATCTTTAAGTTAAGCCAGATAGGAAAAACGGCTGATTTAATTGTATATAATTGATAAAAGGATTAGATGTGAAGAAAACGGGCAAAACAGAACGGTTTAAAGGCGACATCATCTCCTTTGCCCCCAGATTCACTGTCCACCTCAGCATAACCCTCTTTCTCCAGATTGAAAACTGGTTGTTGTCTCGGTCGTAATTGGCCGTTTCGGAGGCACATTGTCCTTTGCTTTTGAGTTCGCAGGTGTACGTAGTAAGCCACTGAATCCGGAGAGGCTCCCTTGGACCACTTTGTTCCCTTTTCTCGCCTCCCGCTGTGCGGAAAATTAGCGTTGCCGTCGTTTCTCCCCGTTTTCTCCTCGGGTTTAACCCCCTCACCTCCTAATGTCATTCTCATGAAAATGTAAGAGCTGCTGCGGCTAATCGGAGGGCGAAGGGAGGGGGGCTGGAAGAGCCTGTACTTTATTTACCTTGATAACAGTTCAGGCGAGTTTCCAAGTTAGAAGTAAGTAAAGCAATATCCAATAATACTTTTAAAATTGTTTTATAGAATAAAAATATCAAGGTTTCAAAAGAGCTCTGCTTACGACTTCTGACTATGCCGGGGGGTTGAGAGGGCGAATGTGGGTGTCGAGTTGGGATGGGGGTGCTGGATTTTCTGGTGAGAAACATAAAATCACTTAGCAACGACCAGTGAGGCTTCAACAAACTCCTGTGGGCTGCCAGTTTGTAGATTAAGGCCAAAACTCGATGTCAAGCAATTGACTAACTTTGTACGAGATATTTGGTGGGTTTTTCGTGCTTAGTTTGTCAACAAGCGTTTTTAAGTAAAAATAAAACGTTTAACATAAACTTAACAGCCTTTTACTATTTCGTCATAAATCCGGAAACGAGATTAATGGTTGCTCTAGTAACGGGGGGTGCGTATTATTTATTTACATGCATTCCGAGGGAGCCGCTCCCCTCCTGCACGCACAGACTTCACTGCTCGACAGGTGAAACACAAGCAAAGAAAACTGGCGATCATGGGCATGAACTGACACTTTTAATGTCAATTTTTTATTTTTTTTATTTTACTGTTCTGTACAGGATAAACAGTTTAAACATACATGAATATTTTAAATCTTGTTTGAGTTTCTTCTGTTGAACACAAAAGAAGATATTTCGAAGAAAGCTAGCCACCTGCCTCCATAGTATTTGTTCTGAATAAGTAAATGATTACAGTTTTCATCTTTATTCTTTTGTGAGCGTAAAAAAGCAAGGCAGGAGGTTCTGAAACGACTCAAGTGTAAGTAAATAGTCAGTATTTAAGTTTAGGTGAAATATCCATTTTATTTCATGTTATTCTTAAAAGAAAAACCTTAAATCATTTGTAGCAGATTCAACAAAGTCTTGTAAACATACTTCTGAGATTTTAGTCCATATTACTGAGAGTATCGCAGGGTTGCTGCGGATTTGTTGGCTGCACATGTCTTATTATGGCACATCCTAAAGTTGCTCTTTTTTTGGAGTGAGATCTGTTGAATATATTGCTCAAGAAACCGATCAGAAATTTTAAACTTTGTGGCATGTTGTTCTGTTGGAAATAGCATCACAAAATGGTTAAATCATGATAACAAAAAAGCCCAGTTTTTATTAATATGTGCCAAAAAATATCCCTCACACCTTTACACCGGCATTCTGAACCCTTGAAACAGGGCATAATAGATTCATTTATTCATTTTCTTATCGGGTTAGTCCCTTTATTAATCCGGGGTCGCCACAACGTAACGAACCGCCAACTTATCCAGCAGGTTCTTACGCCCTTTACCCATCTCTGGGAAAAGCATAATAGATTTAATGTGATTTCATGTTTCATGTCACAATTTTGCCAAATTCTGACCCTACACTGTAAAAAAAATCTGTAAAATAACAGTTAAATGACTGTATATTTTAACAGATTTTTTCCGTAAACACGTATTACGGGTGTTTTTCCGTTTATATACATTTTCGAATTGCATTGTGGGAAGGGGATCGCAGCTCAGACAGCGTTTGATGGACACCGGGACATATTTCTTCCTCTGTTTTTTCCCTGGTAAGTACGATTAATAAAACATATAACAATATTTTAGTTAAAAGACTGCTTTATTACCTTTTTATCGTTATTTAAAATGATTTTTGTCTTTTATGAAGCGCCCATGGAAAGTACAGCAGTGAGTTACGTTTAAGATTGTTAATAAGATCAGACTTTATTTCATTAAGATCAAACTGAGCTATGAGTGGTTAAATGTAATTTAAACAAGCATTTACCTAATGATTTTTTACCTTTTTATACGTTTTCCTCATCAGTAAATATGGTATCTGTTCATTTACAGTTGTTTGTCCGTATTTTTCTAAACTGCCGTGCGCGGGAAGTGGCGTGACGTCCAATCACCCACTCACTCCCTCTGCACCTGACTGGATTAACGGTAAACGTCAGTTTGTCTGTAAGAGTGTAAAAGGTATGTTAATTATTTTATAGAAATATAAATGTTTTCTTTGTACAGTGCATTGAACAAGGGATAGCATTCAAAGTTTGTGTCACCGTGTAGTTTGGTTGATATACGTTACCTTTAATGAACACTAACGTTAACGTGTTTCAAACGCTCGTAACACCTGACCGTCTGTGTTTGTTTGCATATTAATGACTAATTTCATATTTTTACTGACGTTATCAAATGTTAGCTTTAGTTTGACCGACGTATTAAGGCTGTGTGACCGAGTTTCAGTGGAACAGCTTTGCTGGTTTTTAAGTAAGTTACAAGTTAGACTCGCGTGAATTGGAGGCATTTGTAACTCGGTATGAGGGGAAATACACACTCGTAAAGTTTTTATTAGTGGTGGGCCGTTATCAGCATTAACGTGCTGCGTTAACGCGAGACTTATCGCGCGATAAAAAAAAATATATATCGCCGTTAATCTATTCTCAACGTTGGGTTGGGAGCTGGGTGACTTTCATACTTTGATATTTTAGCGCGGATGTATACCTGACCGGTGAGCCGTCTGACAAACAAGTGCCCTTATGAATCAAATCAGCAGGATGCCTGACTTTAACTGCAGTTCGGCAGTTTCACTTTAACTCATGAACATTTCATTCATCCCGCGTGACAAACTGGGGTAATAGACGCAAATAAGAAGCAAGAACTGATGAGAGTGTTATGGAATTTAACAACGCTCGCCAAATGGAACGAAAAAAAAAACTTCCGCATTTCGCGACGCGTGTTTGTGTGTACAGAGATAACAGAGTGATACAGTACGTGTGTGACATTTAAACGTATTTATAGTGTTTACACTGTCATGCGTTTTCGGCCTCAAATACAACGTGTACCTTAAAGCACACAATTAAATGTTTGTTGTAGTCGAGTTGAACTGTCATTGATATTTATTTATTCACTTTTAAGAACCTCAAGGGCAGCTAATATGAAGATATAAAGATGAGTTGTTCTTCCACAGTCTTAAAATTCTTCAAACTAATTGTCAGTTCGATTCATTATAGCAAACAATACTTTCTTTACTATTAGGAGATCAGGAGTTTTATTTTAATGAAACCTTGATAATAGAGTGAACTACACATGGTGTTATCGCAAATAAAATCTTTTTATGTAGATTTTAAGTGAGTTTTATTTGCACAAATAAGGTTCACTGATATTTTGCTTTGTTGACTTTCAGGTTCTTTCATTTTGGTTATAAGTACATGTTACAGGTAAATTCTTAGATTCAATCCAAACTGAATTTGAATTAATACGGACAAATGAAATAAAATACACCTGGGATTTTAAATGTTTTCATTTTTTTATTATTCACAACGTTTGTGAAGTCTAAATGTATACTGTCTCAAACTGAATGAGTGTTATTTTTGTTGTAGGTGTGTTGGTGTAAAAATTGATGCTGACTGGTTAGTACTGCATTTTTAACCATAACAATAATGATTTATATTTAGCATTGCATCTATTGTCATTTTACCAAGAATGTGTTTGCTCTTTCAGAACTCAGGCAGTTGTGCTGGACCCTCTGTACCTTATACAGGAGATGACTGTAAACTTTCAAGTTTAAGAGGTAAAATGTTCAGGGTTTTTCTGTTT